CACTGCAGCCTCAACCTCCTGGGCTCAAGTGATCCTCTTGCCTCAACCTCCCTAGTGGCTTGGGCTACAGGCATGTGCCACCACTCCTGGCTAATTTTTAATTTTTTTTTGTAGAGATAGGGCTTCACTATGTTGTGCAGGCTGGGCTCAAACTTCTGGGCTCAAGTGATTCTCCCGCCTTAGCCTCCCAAAGTGTTAGGATTATAGGTGTCAGCCACTGTGCCTGGACTAGTTTGAGTAAATTTTAATTTTTCCATATAACTTCTTCAATTTCCATGGCAAATCACTCTTGATAACTTATAAAAAAATCAGATGATTTTTTTTTTTTTTTGAGACGGAGTTTCGCTCTTGTTACCCAGGCTGGAGTGCAATGGCGCGATCTCGGCTCACCGCAACCTCCGCCTCCTGGGTTCAGGCAATTCTCCTGCCTCAGCCTCCTGAGTAGCTGGGATTACAGGCACGCGCCACCATGCCCAGCTAATTTTTTGTATTTTTTTTTTTTTGTATTTTTTTTAGTAGAGACGGGGTTTCACCATGTTGACCAGGATGGTCTCGATCTCTTGACCTCGTGATCCACCCGCCTCAGCCTCCCAAAGTGCTGGGATTACAGGCTTGAGCCACCGCGCCCGGCTCCTAATTTTTTGTATTTTTAGTAGAGACGGGGTTTCACCATGTTGACCAGGATGGTCTCGATCTCTCGACCTCGTGATCCACCCACCTCGGCCTCCCAAAGTGCTGGGATTACAAGCTTGAGCCACCGCGCCCGGCCCAGATGATGTTTTTGAATGTACATCAGTTATTGTTATTTGAGGGGTTTTTTTCTTGGTTTTTTTTTTTTTTTTTTTTTTTTTTTTTTTGAGACGGAGTTCCACTCTTGTTACCCAGGCTGGAGTGCAATGGCGCGATCTCGGCTCACCGTAACCTCCACCTCCTGGGTTCAAGCAATTCTGCCTCAGCCTCCCTAGTAGCTGGGACTACAGGTGTGCGCCACCATGCCCAGCTAATTTTTGTGTTTTTAGTAGAGACGAGGTTTCACCGTGTTGACCAGAATGGTCTCGATCTTGACCTCGTGATCCACCCGCCTCGGCCTCCTAAAGTGCTGGGATTACAGGTGTGAACCACCTCACCCAGACTTTTCTTCTGTTTTTAGCAAGAGTAAACTGAAAAAGAAACCACTTTGAGTGTGGCACACTTTCCTTAACATTCTAATTAAGCTTATTAAAACCAGGGAATCCTTTATAGGACAGAAATGTCAAACACATTTTAGAGGATTAAGAAAAGCTCTTGACCCAGAGTTTTCCATACTAATGCCTGCTGATCCCCCTGGGGTCTAAAGCATGGATTATGGGCTCTGGGGGATAGGAATCTGGAGATCCTAGCAGGGTGAGAGGTAAGATCTAAAATTCTCTACATAGCCTGGGCAGGGTGGTTCACACCTGTAATCCCAGCACTTTGAGAGGCTGAGATGGGTGGGTCACGTCAGGTCAGGAGTTCTAGACCAGCCTGGCCAACATGGTGAAACCCCATCTCTACCAAAAAATACAAAAATGAGCTGGGCGTGGTGGCACGCACCTGTGGTCCTAGCTACTTGGGAGGCTGAGGCAGGAGAACTGCTTGAACCTGAGAGGTGGAGGCTGCAGTAAGCTGAGACTGTACAACTGCACTCCAGCCTGAGCAACAGAGTAAAATGCTGTCTCAAAAAAAAAAAAAAAAAAAAAAAAAAGAATCTCAAGGCCAGGCACGGTGGCTCATGGCTGTAATCCCAGCACTTTGGGAGGCAGAGGCGGACAGATCATTTGAGGTCAGGAGTTCGAGATCAGCCTGACCAGCATGGGGAAACCCCATCTCTACTAAAACTACAAAAATTAGCCAGGTGTGGTGGCAGGTGCCTGTAATCCCAGCTTCTCGGGAGGCTGAGGCAGGAGAATTGCTTAGACCTGGGAGGCAGAGGTTGCAGTAAGCGGAGATCGAGCCACTGCACTCCAGCCTGAGACAGAGCAAGACTCCATCTCAAAAAAACAAGAAAGAAAAAAGAAACGGTTAAGTTAGTTGCGCAAGATCATACAGCTACTAAATCTTCAAACCTAGACTGGCTGCCTCCAGAGTAGCACTGTTAACCCTTAAGTTATCTCTTGAGTGTGTGTGTGTGTGTGTGTGTGCGCGCATGTGTGTGTGACATAATCTCGCTCTGTTGCCCAGTATGGGGTACAGTGGCCTGTTATCTTGGCTCACTGCAACCTCCGCCTCCTGGGTTCAAGCAATTCTCTGCCTCAGTCTCCCGAGTAGCTGGGATTACAGGCACTTGCCACCACGCCTGGCTAATTTTTGTAGTTTTAGTAGAGACAGGGTTTCACCATCTTGGCCAGGCTGGTCTTGAACTCCTGACCTTGTGATCCACCCAGCTCAGCCTCCCAAAGTGCTGGGATTACAGGCGTGAGCCCCCAGGCCTGCCCCCCCACCTTTTTTTTTTTTCTTTTTGAGACAGAGTCTTGCTCTGCTGCTCAGGCTGGAGGGCTGTGGGACCATCTTGGCTCATTACAACCTCCACCCTCTGGTTCAAGTGATTCTCCTGCCTCAGCCTCCCGAGTAGCTGGCATTACAGGCACCCACCATCATGCCTGGCTAATTTTTGTATTTTTTGTGGAGACAGGATTTCACCATGTTGGCCAGGCTGATCTTCACTCCTGACCTCAGGTGATCCGCCTGCCTCCACCTCCCAAAGTGCTGGGATTACAGGCGTGAGCCACCAAGCCCAGCCGGATCTCTCTTATTTCTTTGATAGTACTCTATTCATTTCTTACCCTTTTTTTCTCTTAAATAGGTGATTATTATTAACAAGCAAGTACTCTATTCATTTCTGCCTGAGGCAGGAGAACTGCTTGTTTTATGTCTATCTCATTCTCTAGACTCTTTCTCTTTGAGAGCAGGAAGCTTTTTTGGGGGGGCTGGGGAAGAATCTCTCTCTGTCACCCAGGCTGGAATGCAATGGCAGGATCTCGGCTTATTGCAACCTCCGCCTCCTGGGTTCAAGCAATTCTCCTGCTTCAGCCTCCTGAGTAGCTCGGATTAACAGGCGCGCTCCACCAGACCTGGCTAATTTTTATATTTTTAGTAGAGACGGGTTTTCATCATGTTGATCAGGCTGGTCTGGAACTCCTGACCCCATGATCCGCCTGCCTCAGTCTCCCGAAGTGCTGGGATTACAGACGTGAGATACCGGGCCCGGCCGACGAGAACAGGAAACATTTTATGCCATTTCACTGCCATACCCAGTAGCCAGTTTACAGTAGATTCTCAATAAATAGTTGACTGCGTAAAATTCGAAGAAAAAACCGTTTCATTCATGGAGTAACGTCGCCATCTCGTGGACATTTAAAATATTGTCATTTAAATTCCTTAAAAAAAAATCGTTTTCACGGAAAATGCAGTAATGTCGCCATCTCGTGGACATTTAAAATATTGTCATTTAAATCCCTTAAAAAAAAAAATCGTTTTCACGGAAAATGGAGTAATGTCGCCATCTCGTGGACATTTAAAATACTGTCATTTAAATTCCTTAAAAAAATCAAGTTTTCGGCCGGGCGCGGTGGCTCAAGCCTGTAATCCCAGCACTTTGAGAGGCCGAGACGGGTGGATCACAAGGTCAAGAGATCGAGACCATCCTGGTCAACATGGTGAAACTCCGGCTCTACTAAAAAATCCAAAAAAATTAGCTGGGCATGGTGGCACGTGCCTGTAATCCCAGCTACTCAGGAGGCTGAGGCAGCAGAATTGCCTGAACCTGGGAGGCGGAGGTTGCGGTGAGCCGAGATTGTGCCATTGCACTCCAGCCTGGGTAACAACAGCGAAACTCCGTCTCAAAAAAAAAAAAAAAAAAAAAAAAATCAAGTTTTAACGGAAATAATTGGTGGTTAGAGTGCCATTTTTCAGATTGTATTCGAGTAGTTCTTTTTTTTTTTTTTTTAATTGAACTGGACCTTTTGAGATTTTTAGTGTTCTATAATTGCACAGCCTCTTCAGGTCAGGTTTGGGGCCTACTAGGTTTGCTTGGTGAAATGAATTGTGCAACTAGGTCATGCATGGTCACTGCTTTACTTTCAGAACTCGTTCGCTTCTACTTTTAAAAAAGAGTACACAGATCCCTTACTAAGCTCTTGGCTCATAACGATCCCTGAGGTACATTCAGAGCCCCGTCCTCGCGGCGTTCATACAGCTGTTTCAGGGGTCTGTCGGCCAGCAATCCCCAATTCCTCATCACATATTCCTCACAGTGCATGCTGGCTACAATGGAAATCGCGTTCAGAAATAGCCCTGCTCTGCCATCATACACTGGGAGAAAGGGGAAAATTAGGCTCCATTAGAAACCCTAGGCTCTCTTGCATAATCCTTTGCAATGTGAAATAATTTTTTACAAAATACCAACACGTTAAGAAGAACTACTTCCCTCATCTACCTACTAGGGGCAACCCACTTTACGAAGTTAGCATGGCCTTCCTATTCAAACCAGAAATGGATAAAAAGGGACGGGTATTATGGTTATAACTGCAGATTCTGTATTCTTCCTCTTTAATCTACGTCTCATATTAACTAACAACGGAGGCCGGAGGCCGGAAGTCTTAGACACTAGCGAGAGCGGCTTCTTCCCCACGACTCTATGGCTTTCCTCTTTACGTCTCATATTCAGTAACAACGGAGGCCGGAGGCCGGAAGTCTTAGACACCAGCGAGAGCCGCTCCTTCCCCACGACTTTATGGCTTTCCTCTTTAAGTCTCATATTCACTAACAACGGAGTCTGGAGGCCGGAAGTCTTAGACACCAGTGAGAGCCGCTCCTTCCCCACGACTTTATGGCTTTCCTCTTTACGTCTCGTATTCACTAACAATGGAGGCCGGAGGCCGGAAGCCAGAAGTCTTAGACACCAGTGAGAGCCGCTCCTTCCCCACGACTCTATGTTTTTACGGGTTACTTAAGCCACGGAGAACTCTATGGTTCCTGGGCGGGCCGAAAGGTTTGAGTTTGAAGACAGGCGGGAAGATGGCAGCACCCGTCGGCAGGCCGGGGTTCTCCCGAGTGGGAGGACGCTGGGACTGTGGCCTGCTCTGATCGTCCGAGAAGGGTTTGCCATGAATCTTCTGCGTCGGAGTGGGAAACGGCGGCGTTCAGAGTCAGACTCAGATTCGTTGTCGGGAAGCAGCGGTGACAGCAGTGCCAGCCCCCAGCTCCTCTCCCGGACCGTGCTGAGCCCGCCGCCGGGCCTGGGTCGCTGCCTGAAGGACCGCGGCCGTCAGTCAGCCGCCACCGCAGGTGCTCCGGGAACCCGGGAGGCCGCGGGCGACGGGGGCAGCTCCGCCGGGCCACGGGTCGGGAGGTGTCCACCCCCCACGGGGCTTGCTTGATTGCATACCCCATTGGGCTTCTGTTCCCCTTCTCTGTGACTCGGGCCTGTGTGGCAGGTCACTTTCTGTTCAGACATACGCGTGTTTTCAGCGGTCGCCTGGTATTAATGTTCACGTGGCTTCTGGATCTTTCGACCTTTACAGAATCAACTTGCTAGTTAGCCAAAATACCAGCACCTGTTGGAGGGCTCGCTCCTCATAGTATCCAGTGCTCCTTACAGATCCTTAAGACCGGGTGGTTGGGCCTGGAGGATAGCACAGGCTGTTTGGCGTCCAGGGATTCGTAATGAGATTGGTTGGGTGTCTGGTGGATGTCTACCCAATTTTTAAAAATCGTTAGTTGTGCGGTCCGTCATGGAACTAAAACTTACAAATAGAAACTTACCTAACTAAACTTTGTAATATTTCCATATTCTCCTCCTCCCCCCACTCTGCCCGTAATTCGAAGACTTTATCTACTGTGTATTGCACAGGGGTTTTTGTTTGTTTGTTTGAGGCTTGTAAGGAATTGTTTTTATCATATGTCTTAAATAACAGTTTATTACTTTTCTATACATGGTCAGTTTCTCATAAGATTGTTGAAGTCAGGATGTGCTTTAAATAGCTTCATTTCAACACAGAAATTCCAACACACAGTGAAGGGCTAACTGTAAACTCATATATTAGAAGTAAATTTTAATTTTTTCTTTTTCTTAAAAGGAGAATGCAAGCCTACAGCTCCCGACTGCCAAATAGACAAGCTACTGTTGGTAAATTGGGGACTTCCTAAAGCAGTTCTGGAGAAATACCACAGTTTTGGTGTAAAAAAGATGTTTCAATGGCAGGCAGAGTGCCTTTTGCTCGGACAAGTCCTGGAAGGAAAGAATTTAGTCTATTCAGGTATCCAAATTTATGTAAACTAATTACTGTTTATCAGATATGAGTCAAAGAGTACTCCATTGAAGTAGTTATGGTTCTTTTAAAAGGTGAATGAGGCAGTGCTTTAAAACTAGAGAAAATCTTAAAATATGTGTGAAAAGTGGAGTTTTGTTTATTTTTAAATTACAAAAGTTTTGTTATGTGACTATGGGGGGAAAAAGAAAGAAAAATGACAGTTTAAAGAGTGGGCAATTCCACTTGCCATCATCATGCTCAACATACATATATCCCAGTGAGTTTGCAATGGGAGATATAAATCTGCTCTTCCTCCATTTGATCCTGGTTGCTTTTCAGGGTATGAACATTATACACTGTATGTTTGTTAATTGACTTTTTTTTAGAGACAGAGTCTTGCTCCAGGCTGGAGTGAAGTGGCTCTATCTGGCCTCATTGCAACTTCCAGCTCCCAGCTTCAAGTGATTCTCCTGCCTCAGCCTCCCAAGTAGCTGGGATTGCAGGTGTCGACCACCAGGCCCGGCTACTTTTGTAGTTTTAGTTGAGACAAGGTTTTACCATGTTGGCCAGGCTGGTCTCGAACTCCTGACCTCAAGTGAGTCACCCACCTCAGCCTCCCAAAGTGCTGGGATTATAGGTGTGAGCCACCACACCCAGTCATAAATTGACTTGTTTGTACAGGGTTGTATACACAAACAATATATAATATACTTTATAAAATTTATTTAAAACAATTTATGTGGGTTTTCAAGGGCAACTGTGACATATGCAATTTTTAACCCATGCTTACTACGCTACTTTAATCTTTTGATAAGATGCAATTCCTTTGTGTCAGTTTTCTCTGAAATTATGAGTTAAAGAATTAAGAGCAGATATACGCTCAGGCAGTGGAATTAGACTGGTTGGATTTGAAAACTGTCACTTACTGGCTATGCAGCCTCACAGATCACTTAGGAAGAGTGAGAGTGTCTGTGTTAGTGAGTATATGTACCTTGGTAGTACTTAGGGAGTATTACATTATTTCATATATGAGAGCTCAGAAACTTTTTGGCACATATAAAGTACTTGTATTGTGAAAGGACGTTACCAAAAATAAAATAGAAAATACTCGTAAATGCTTAGAAGTCGTAGTTAGTGGCAATGGCATAATGGCTTGACCATTTCAACTGCTTGAAACTGAAACTTGGGTATCATTCAGAGCTTTGGTCACCAGCTTGTACAATTAATCAATAAGTTCTGTGTCTGTTACGTCATATATCTCTCGCTTCTGACTCCTTTCTGTTTTTAGGTCCATTACCTGGTACAGCTCATTATCATCTTTCTTCTAGATTATGCAGTAGCTTTGAAACTAGCTCTTCCTTTTCCTCTGATATTGGCCTGCTCCTGCAGCCAAAGTGGTCTTTTTTAAAAAAAAATTTTGTTTGAATTTTTTGTAGATATGGGGGTGTCATTGTGTTGTCCAGGCTGATCTTGAACTGCTGGGCTCAAGTGATCCTCCCAAAGTTTTGGGATTGTAGGCATGATTCACTGTGCCCAGTCCAAAGTGATCTTTATAAAGTACAAATATGATTTTATCACTCCTTTTCATAAAGCTCATCAGTCTCTGCATTGCTTTCAGGACAAGGTTTAAACTTCTTAAATGGTGGGATAGTAAACCCTTCCTGTGGCACTTTAATTATCTCTTCTTTTATACCCCTGGCGTACTTTATACTCCACACTTACTAAACTACTTACTGTGTCATCTGAACATGCCAGTCTTTCTTCTAGGCCTTTGTACCACATGCTGTTTCTTAGGCATGGCATTCCTTTACTCTTAATTTTTTTTTTTTTTTGAAACAAAGTCTTGCTGTGTCACCCATGCTGGAGTGCAGTGGCATGATCATAACTCATTGCAGCCTCCACTTCCTGGGTTCAAGTAATTCTCAAGCCTCAGCCTCCCAAGTAGCTGGAATTACAGGCACATACCACCTCACCCTTCTCGGCCTCCCACATTGCTGGGATTATAGACATCAGCCACCGCCCCCAGCCTCCTCTTGTTTTCTTTCTTCCCTTCTCATAAGATTCCTTGCAGCTCCTTTTCCTCAACTTTTTTTTTTGAGACAGAGTCTTGCTCTGTCACCCAGGCTGGAGTGTAGTATCACAATATCAGCTCACTGCAATCTTTGCCTCCCGGGTTCAAGTAATTCTCCTGCCGCAGCCTCCCAAGTAGCTGGGACTACAGGTGCCCACCACCATGCCTGGCTTTTTTTTTTTTTAATTTATTTTTGTAATAATAGAGATGGGGTTTTATCATGTTGTCCAGGATGGTCTCAAACTCCTGAAGTGATCCCCTGGCCTCAGCCTCCCAAAGTGCTGGGAATACAGGCATGAGCCACTGCGCCCAGCCCTTTTCCTCAACTTCGATCACAGTTCCTATCGTGATAAAGTTGTTCATCTACTTCCTCAAAGCAGGCCTTTTAACCATTTGGTAGTTAAAGGAAAGGATCTTTAGGTATCTCTTAGATACTCAGTAGGACTCATCATATATTGTTGATATGAAGATTTGTTTACACTGTTTTTAGTGAAACTATTTACACAGCTGGTTTAAAGTAAAGGGCATTTCAGGGTATAAAGATTTTAAATGCTATTGCGGCCTTAGTGATAGATTAGCCTTATGCGCTGTAGTACTGCACATTGCTTAAAACATTTATTAATGAAGCATACCAGATATTACCGTTTTCTTATAATCTTGTGTTATAATCATGTTTTAGCTCCTACAAGTGCTGGGAAGACTCTCGTGGCAGAATTACTTATTTTGAAGCGGGTTTTGGAAATGCGGAAGAAAGCTTTGTTTATTCTTCCCTTTGTTTCTGTGGCTAAAGAGAAGAAATACTATCTCCAGGTAATGTTTTTTACTAAGTTTGAAATAGTGAAAGGCTCAATATTGGCAGCCTTGGCTTCATTCATTTGAAATAGAATTACAAAAGCAAGTGAAAAACAAGTTTCTTTATTGGGTCCCATGTAGCTTTAAGAGGTGACTGAAGGCCAGGCACGGTGGCTTATCCCTGTAATCCCAGCACTTTGGGAGGCTGTGGTGGGCAGATCACCTGAGGTCAGGAGTTTGAGACCAGCCTGACCGTCATGGAAAAACACTGTCTCTACTAAAAACACAAAATTAGCTGGGCATGATGGCACATGCCTATGATCCCAGCTACTTGGGAGGCTGAGACAGGAGAATTGCTTGAACCTGGGAGGTGGATGTTGCAGTGAGCCCAGATTGTGCCATTGCACTGCAGCCTCGGCAACAAGATCAAACCTCTGTCTCAACAAAAAAAGAGGTGACTGATAAAAGCATTAAAAATTCACAGAAGAGGGCTGGGCGTCTTGGCTCATGCCTGTAATTACAGCACTTTGGGAGACTGAGGCGGGTGGATCGTCTGAGGTCAGGAGTTTGAGATTAGCCTGGCCAACATGGTGAAACCCCATCTCTACTAAAAACACAAAAATTAGCTGGATGTGGTCACGCACACCTATGATCCTGGCTACTTGGGAGGCTATTGCAGGAGAATCACTTGAACCTGGGAGACAGAGGTTGCAGTGAGCTGAGACTTTGCCATTGCACTCCAGCCTGGGCAACAGAGTGAGACTCCATCTCAAAAAAAAAAAAATGTTTTTGTTTTAAATTTACAGAAGTAAATTACAAAAAAAATTATTGCATCAAGCAGAAGGGGCCATCAAATCAAAAGAATAACTAGGAAAATTGTGTAAAAATGTGTAAACCTTTTCTTAGGAGATAAACAGAATACTTTAGCAAATAAACATGCACATTGAGAATGAGCATGTAACTGAACAATAGGACTAGACTGAAGCATAGAAAGGAAAGAATGTTTAAGGAAGCATATCCATGGCTGGGTGTGGTGGCTCATGCCTGTAATCCCAGCACTTCGGGAGGCCGAGGCAGGGATCACCTGAGGTCAGGAGTTAGAGACCAGTCTTAGTAATATTAACGTGATGAAACACCATATCTATTAAAAAAAAAAAAAAAAGCATACTCTGTCCTAATTGAGGGCCATTTAGGAATATTTAGGGGATGAAGGTCAAGATCCACGGGTGCTTATGTAACGCTCCAGGTGTATGATCTGTTCCTGTGTTCTGCAAAAATGACTAATAGTTTATATCAACATGATGCTCACAGTTTTTAGGGCATTTTCACAAGTACAGGTGTTTTATTAAAGGGAATTAATTTACTGTTGTGATTTCTGCAGCAAAAAGTATGTGCTTTTGGAATGGAAAGATCGGTATACTGATTGCTAAAGAAATGTGGATTCTAGTCCCAGTTTCGCCACTACTATGTCTTTAGGCCAAGGCAGGTAATCCTAGCTGGGCCTAGGTTTTTTTCACTGTGTAAAATTAGGATGTTAACCCTTAGCACTGTGGCTTAACTCGGCAAACACTAGGGGAAAATTTATTGAATGAACAACTCTAAATTTCTGTGGATTCTATAAATCTTTTTAACAGTTATTTCAGAGGCCAAATAGCCAACAAAGCTGGTCCTACATGGTAACATCTCTCAACTTAGACCCAAACTAACAAAATGATGAAAGGAATCCTTTTTGTTGAAAGGTATGTTAGTTAAAAGTTGAAACAAACAAACAACAAATTATTATAAAAGTCCCACTGAATTTTACTTTTAAAAACTTTTCTTCCAATTACATTAAAAAATTGGTCATTACTAGGATAATGAGACTATTTTTCTCGTGAGTTATAAGTTTATTTCTTCAAGTGTTACAGCTAGTTTCTTGCTATTTATTAGATTAAAATGTTAGTGCTTAAGGTAGTTTTTCTCCCATTTTAATTCCTATCAATAGCTCTTAGAACTTTTTAGATTATTATGCTTTCATTAAAATAGTGTAATTTTATTTGACTCTTAACAGAAATCTAAGTTTTGCCAGTTCTAAACTTTATATTTTTAGCATATGATTCTAAAAAGAACCAGTGTGTCCTGTCCAGAAACAACTCATGACAGTAATCTGATGTCTTTAGATACTTATGTCTATGTTCTGGGATAGAACCTGTCTATACCTCTTGAATTTCAAGTTTTTTCTCCTGTATTGTTTCTTTTTACTCAATTCAGAGTCTGTTTCAGGAAGTCGGAATAAAAGTAGACAGTTATATGGGCCGCATCTGTCCAGCAAGGCATTTCTCTTCCTTGGATGTTGCAGTCTGCACAATTGAAAGAGCCAATGGTCTGATCAGTCGCCTTATAGAGGAAAATAAGATGGATCTGTTAGGTAAGAAAGTTAGAAAAGAAGTAAATACTTTCTGTTGCTATTTTTGATGGAAGGAAGTGGAGCTTTTGTGATTTCTGTAGGTCCCATTTGTTTTTCTGTTGTCTACCATCTACTTCTAAAGGCGAGAATTGGCATCTGTAATGTTAGGAACTCTGTGTTTATAAGTTTTGTGTCCTGCTGCTGTTACTGACTCCATTACGTTGCATGTTTGTACTTTACAAAACGTAGAGGATATTCTTGAGCCCTCAATAATTTCTCCTTGCTTCTTTCTTATCTAAATCTTACCAGGAGTAGAAGAAAGCCTGCTGGGCCAGATCTGTCATTTTTGCTGTTAGTGTATATGCGTTTTTGTTATTATATTCTGGTGCTATGATGCCTATTTTGGGCTTGGACCCAGAGGCTACCATTTAGCATGGAAGTGGCAGGGACTTGCTGAAACTGATACTGTATTTGAGCTTGGGGTTCTGGGAAGATTTTCTATCTTAATGCATTTTTTGCCATTATGGAAAGGCCGTTATGTAGAGGTAGCAACAGCAGTAGAAGGATTGCAGCTGTGGAAGTAGCAAGAATATCAGCTATTTATTGAGAGCCTGGTGAACTTAAAAATACCATGGTAAAGTTATGGTAGGGTAGGGGTGGAGGGTGGAAATCAAAGATGCATAAGACATGGGCTATGCTTTATAAAGCTTGGAGGGAAAAATTTCAATTGATTTGTATCAAAATTATATTATCACCTGTGACTCCATTGTAGTTTAAATATTTTGAGAGTTTCAGTAGACCCCTAGTAAGTGCTATTTCCAATACACCCAGCACAGTACCTAGCACATAGTAGGCAGAATAGTTTTTTTTTGGTTTTTGGTTTTTTTGGTGAAGAAACGAGTAAGTGTTGAAATAACTCCTCAGACAGTACAATTTTGGAGATAGCTTACTGATAGGAAAAAGAACATCATTATGTTTCATTAGGAAGTTGTCTATTGTCTCCTCAAATTCCTTTTCACCAGAAAGTTGTCTTTTGGTGGGGAGAATTTGGGGTGGGGGAACACCAGTACATGTGGAAACTATGTTGTTATGAAAATGTTTAAAGAAAGTATTGGTTGATACTGAATTTACAGTAATTCTTTTTTTTTTTTTTTTGAGACGGAGTTTCGCTGTTGTTACCCAGGCTGGAGTGCAATGGTGCGATCTCAGCTCACCGCAACCTCCACCTCCTGGGTTCAGGCAATTCTCCTGCCTCAGCCTCCCGAGTAGCTGGGATTACAGGCACGCACCACCATGTCCAGCTAATTTTTTGTATTTTTAGTAGAGACGGGGTTTCACCATGTTGACCAGAATGGTCTCAATCTCTTAACCTCGTGATCCACCCGCCTCGGCCTCCCAAAGTGCTGGGATTACAGGCTTGAGCCACCGCGCCCGGCCTTTTTTTTTTTTTTTTTTTTTTTTTTGAGATGGAGTTTCTCTCTTGTTACCCAGGCTGGAGTGCAATGGCGCGATCTCGGCTCACCACAACCTCTGCCTCCTGGGTTCAGGCAATTCTCCTGCCTCAGCCTCCTAAGTAGCTGGGATTACAGGCACGCGCCACCACGCCCAGCTAATTTTTTGTATTTTTAGTAGAGACAGGGTTTCACCATGTTGACCAGGATGGTCTTGATCTCTTGACCTCGTGATCCACCCGCCTCGGCCTCCCAAAGTGCTGGGATTACAGGCGTGAGCCACGGAGCCCGGCCTACAGTAATTATTAAGAATTATTCCAGCTGGGCGCGGTGGCTCAAGCCTGTAATCCCAGCACTTTGGTGTGGGGAACAATCCCGTGTGAGACCCCTAAAAGGCGTGAGTCTCACTATACGGTGAGTTTGATCCCAAACACAGTTTCCTACTGGAGGCAGTCGAGCTATCCGGAAATGCAGGAACTGAAAGATGAATGATCAGTTTCTAATATTAACCACAATATCCTTTGGGCCTAAAACTATGCCTTGCTGCTAGACTGAGTGACCCCCTGCTGGCAACCAGTTCCTGCTTTTAACCTTTTTATGACTCTCTCTTTAAGAATAAGTTTTAACCTTTTCTTTACTTACCTGACTGCCTAATGGTTTAACTGTCGATATTTGCAAAGCAAATGCCACCATAATGGATGGCTTTGATTCCTGACTCAGAGATTCCTGAATGGGGAAATTGAGTTGAGTTAGGAGTAGACAAAGGAGAATCCCACTAAAAGATATTCTGATAAGCAAAACCAGAAAACCTTTTCACATCTCAGTTCTAAAACAAGATCAAACCAGAGATACCTGCAGCCAGGAGGAATAATATCTGGATGTAAACAAGCTTTGTGATCACAGGAAATTCTGTTACTTTTTACAACCACTGATTGCATATCTGACTTCTCTATTGTATAGGCCATGTAAGGTATACATTTGCATTTCCTCTTGCCACCATTGTGTTTTTGACTTCTCTATTGTATAGGCCATGTGAGGCATACATTTACATTCCTCTTACTATGAAGTAAACCAGAGCCAAGAAAGTGTATTTATTCCTGGCCTTTGAAAAATAAAATTTGCTGTTTAGGCACAGCCTATCAGCCCTCCAGACGCCTCGCTTTCTCTCTCTCTATTAATTTTCCAGGCGCACTCCCTCTTCCAGGTATTGGGACCCTCTTGCAGGTCGAGAGACCCCCGGGCAGACATGCCTACCCGTCCCGGACGGTCCACAACACTTTGGGAGGCCGAGGCGGGTGGATCACGAGGTCAAGAGATCGAGACCACCCTGGTCAACACAGTGAAACCCCGCCCCTACTAAAAATACAAAACATTAGCTGGGCATGGTGGCACGTGCCTGTAATCCCAGCTACTCAGGAGGCTGAGGCAGGAGAATTGCCTGAGCCCAGGAGGCGGAGGTTGTGGTGAGCCGAGATCGCACCATTGCACTCCAGCCTCGGTAACAAGAGCGAAACTCCGTCTCAAAAAAAAAAAAAAAAAAAGAATTATTCCAAGTATATACATTGGTTAAATTCTCCAAGTAGTGAAGGACATAGTAATCATATTTATGTTTTGCAGTAGGGTGACTCACTAGCCTACCATATTTAAAAAAAAAAACTCTTTAAATTATCTTTTTCTTCTGGACTCTATTCTGTTTTTCCTAAGCTGCTTTCTAACATGTGTATGTCTGTTTTCCCACTGAAAAGTCAGTATACTGACTAACTGCCATAGATGTCTTTGATATGTCATTGTATTTTTATTTCAGTGAAGTTGGCAATTGAGAAGAGTAATAAGAGGCAGTTTTCCCTGAGTTTGTTTAGCCCCGATTAATAATTGATTTTAGATCCAGAATACCTTGTAGTAGGACTGCCTGTAATACCTGAAACATCTTGGAAAAGAATTGCCCATTATGAGGAATCTGATTTTTGCTCTATCGTTTGGAGTTTGCATCACTTGCAATGTAGTATAATGACAGCTACATACTGTGCGGTGTAAGATACTGAATCTTTTAAATTTCTTCTTGGCACAGTCATGAAAAGAAGGAAATCATGTCCTTTGTAGTAAAGCAATATGGATGCAGCTGGAGCCATTATCCTAAGCCAATTAATGCAGGAACAGAAAACCAAGTACTGCATGTTCTCACTTTTAAGTGAGAACTAGACTTTGAGTATTCATGGACATAAAGATGGCAACAACAGAAACTGGGGACTACTAGAGGGGAACAAAGGTTGAAAAACTAACTAACTAATGATAGGGTACTATTACTAAGTATCTGGGTGATGGAATCATTTGTACTCCCAACCTTAGCATCACACAGAATACCCAAGTAACAAACCTGCACATGTACCCCCGGAATCTAAAATAAAAGTTGATATAAAGGAAATAAAATAGAGTGAAATAAAAGTTGGAAAAAATTATGTGGATGTGAGATTCTGTAAAAACCTAGTATCTGGAAAATCTTTTTAGGAATGGTTGTTGTGGATGAATTACATATGCTGGGAGACTCTCACCGAGGGTATCTGCTGGAACTTTTGCTGACCAAGATTTGCTGTATTACTCGGAAAACAGCATCTTCGTGAGTATTTGAAACAACTAAGTTCCTGAGATTTCAAACCACGTTGAAAAAGTGTCTGAAAAGTACACGAGTTAAATAAATTAAAGGAGTGTAATATTTTTCACATTGAGAAAAACTCATGTAAAGTAGTTTGTTTTTGTTCCAGAAGAAGTCAGTCCAGGCAGGGTGGCTCACACCTGTAATCCCAACACTTTGGAAGGCTGAGTTGGGAGGATCACTTGAGCCCAAGTTCCAGACCAGCCTGGGCAACACAATGAGACCCCACTTCTATAAATAATAATAAAAAAAAATTAGCTGGGCATCATGGCACATACCTGTAGTCCCAGCTCTTCAGGAGGCTGAGGCAGGAGGATTACTTGAGCCCAAGAGTTTCAGGCTGCAATGAGCTATGATTGTGCCACTTTACTCTAGCCAGAGCAACAGGGCAAGACCATGTCTCTAACAACCACAGGAAAAGTATTTCAGATTAAAACTGATTTTAGATTACTTTGTAAACATTCTTAATTTTCTGACTGCTCACCCTTTCAGTGTATACATTTTTGTTACAGATTTCTAGAAATCCTGGTTCTGTATTTGTCATTTGTATATATAATTTAAGTAGTCAGGCTAATTTTGAAAAATAGTATTTTCTTAGCCCTCACTTCTCAGAGGGAACTACCTTTCAATTCTTCTAGCTTTTTATTTTATTTATTTATTATTTATAATTGTTTATATATATATATATATATATATATTTTTTTTTTAGAGTCAGGGTTTTACCATGTTGGCCAGACTGGTCTCGAAATTCTGACCTCAGGTGATCCGCCCGCCTTGGCCTCCCAAAGTGCTAGGATTACAGGCATGAGCCACCTCGCCCAGCCTATTTATTGTTTTTTTAAAAGATGAGATTTCACCATGTTGGTCAGGCTGATCTTGAACTCCCGACCTCAGGTGATCCACCCGCCTTGGCCTCGAAAGTGCTTGGATTATAGGCGTGAGCCACTATGTCTGGCCTTTATTTATTTATTTATTTAGTTATTTAGTTATTTATTTAAAGATGGGGTTTCACCATGATGGCCAGGCTGGTCTTTAACTCCTGACCTCAGGTAATCCACCCACCTCAGCCTCCCAAAGTGCTAGAATTACAGGAGTGAGCCACCGTGCCTGGCCCTCTTCTAGCTTTTTAAAAATGTTTACAGCAGCATCTCTAACTGTGGCTACTTAATTTTTTAATTTTAGACTTTGTATACTGACTTTTACTATGAAAAATGAAGATCTCGCTTTCTTTTAAATTCTTTACTCACTGCTACCCAATCTTCTCCTCCCTTCTCTGCAGTCTCTCCTTATTCTCTCATTACCTTCACATTCTTCAAATAGATGTAGGTTATCATTTTGCTTAGATCATTATTCAGTGTTACACTATTGTGACTGTGTAAATAACATTAGTAACTGGGCTGTAGCATAATATGATTACTTTTGCTTTTCTAAACAACTTTTTCTTTTCTCTGAAATTAATAACTGTCTTTTTTGTTTGATGGCTTGGTTTTCCACATACTTATAGCTAATGTATCCCTAGCCTATTCCCTAGTTGTGTATTCTACCACATTTGCTATTCTACCAGTCATCTTCTTGAAGATTTTCTTAAAGCCCTTCAAGTTGTTACAATCTAGATAAGTGGTTAATCTATATATGTGCTATATAGCAATCATTTTGGGATTCCCTTCCCCTATCCATTTTTTGACTACATGTCTGTGTTAATTTACCTTCTCATTTTGGGGGGAATATCTTCCAGGAACTTCTGGTTTATTTCAGTGAACGCACATAGGTATAACGTTTTGGAGAACTTGAATGTCTGAAAATGCCTCATAATTATTTTTCTTTTTCTTTTTTTTTTTTTTAATTTTGAGACAGAGTTTTGCGCTTTTTTCCTTTTTCCTTTTTTTTTTTAATTTTTTTTTTTTTTTTCCGCACTTTCCCCGGGCTGGAGTGAAGTGGAGCAATCTCGGCTCACTGAAACCTCTGCCTCATGGATTCAAGCGATTCTCAGCCTCCCAAGTAGCTGGGATTATAGGTGCCTGCCACCACATCGGGCTAATTTTTGTATTTTTAGTAGAGACGGGGTTTCACCATGTTGGCCAGGCTGGTCTCAAATTCCTGACCTCAGATGATCCATCCATCTTGGCCTCCCAAAGTGCTAGGATTACTGGCGTGAGCTACTGCGCCCAGCCTCCATAATTATTTCACGGACTGTCCAGGTCTAAGAGTCAAAACTGGAAGTACTTTTCCTTCAGCCATAGCGCTGTGAAATTTAATACCGATGTGTGTTGGTCTATTTTTAGTCGTTGTGCTGGGTACTCCAAAGGTTCTTTTCAAAAAGTTAAGGGAGAATTGAACACATCTCTCTTGTGATAGAACAAGCAGATAACTGCCTCCATCTTAAATCACTTGGGATATAGAAAATATGATTAATCAGCAAAGTTGACCTAATGGATATATATTGAACAGTTACCTCAAAACAGCAGAATACATGTTCATTTCAGTTACACATGGAACATTTGTTAAAAAGTTTTCCATATGCTGGACTGTAAAGCAAGTCTTAACATAGTCTAGTGGATTCATATCATTGGTTTTCTAAAATAGTGAATTTAGCTATAAGAAAAGCATCATTTTTAGGTCAAAAAAGTAATTACAACAGAAATTCGAAAATAATTTGAACTGGAAGTATAATTAAAATGTCTCTTAATAAAACTTGTGAAGGGTAGCAAAAGGTTTTTTTTTTTTTTTTAAGGGAAATTGATAGCATAAAATGTTCATATTATTAAGGAAGAGAGACTGAGAATCAATTATTTAATTATCCATTCCAATAACTTAGAAAAAAGGCCAAGCAGGGTGCCTCATGTCTTTAATCCCAGCACTTGGGGATGCCAAGGCAGGCAGATCACTTGAGGCCAGGAGTTTGATATGAGCCTGGCCAACATGGCAAAACCCTGTCTCTATTAAAAAATGCAAAGTTTGTCTGGGTGTGATGATGCATGCCTGAGATATCAGCTACTCAGGTGGCATTAGAATCACTTGAACCCTGGAGGCTGAGGTTACCGTGAGCCGAGATCATGCCTCATTGCACTCCAGCCTGGGTGACAGAGCTTGACCCTGTCTTGCCCACTACTGTATCAGTGGGCAAAAAAACAGGCTGTTGAAACAAGGTATCCAAATGGTTCATGCACATGAAGTCATGCTTAGTGTCATCGGCTGTCAGGGAACTGTGAATTACTTCTTCAAAGAAATACTAACACATAATCTCTATAACTACTAACATTAAAAAGACTGACAATACCAAGTGGTAATAAGATTGTGAAAACAGAAAACGCGTAGATTGTGGAGGTGTTACTTTGGAAAACAATGTGGCATTATCTATTAAAATACGGGATAAAGCCGGGCGCTGTGGCTCAAGCCTGTAATCCCAGCACTTTGGGAGGCTGAGGCGGGTGGATCATGAGGTCAGGAGATCGAGACCATCCTGGTCAACACGGTGAAACCCCGTCTCTACTAAAAATACAAAAAATTAGCTGGGCATGGTGGCGCGTGCCTGTAATCCAGCTACTCAGGAGGCTGAGGCAGGAGAATTGCCTGAACCCAGGAGGCAGAGGTTGCGGTGAGCTGAGATTGCGCCACCGCACTCCAGCCTGGGTAACAAGAGCGAAACTCCGTCTCAAAAAAAAAAAAAAAATAAAATAAAATAAAATACGGAGATAATCTGTGACTCAGTAATCTGTGACTCCATAGTTTTATTCTTAGATATATACCCTAAAGAAATGTATGTATGTGTGTACCAAAGGACATAACCAAGGATATTGTTAGCAACACTAATTGTTAACTTAGTATATATCTTTTAATATTCTTTTCATTTGTTTTTTACAGTCAGGCAGATTTAGCTAGTTCTCTGTCTAATGCTGTGCAAATTGTTGGCATGAGTGCTACCCTTCCTAATTTGGAGCTTGTGGCTTCCTGGTTGAATGCTGAACTCTACCATACTGACTTTTGTCCTGTACCGCTTTTGGAGTCAGTAAAAGTTGGAAATTCCATATATTCCTCTTCAATGAAATTTGTGAGGGAATTTGAACCCATGCTACCAGTGAAGGTAAATCTATTTATTTATATCACTACTATTAGTATCTGTGTGTTTGATTTCATTTTCTAGCAAATTAACATTTCTGAATTATGTAATTAGGAGTTACATATTCATTAGTATGAATATTAAGCTGATTGGTTTTCTTTTAAAGAATTGGTGGTAAACTGGGCATGGTGGCGACGTCTGTAATCCCAACACCTTGGGAGGCCGAGGCAGGGGGATCACTTGAGATCAGGGGTTCGAGACCATTCTGGCCAACATGGTGACACCCTGTCCCTACTAAAAATATAAAAATTAGCTGGGTGTGCTGGTAGGCATCTGTAATCCTAGCTTCTTGGGAGGCTGAGGCAGGAGAACTGCTTGAACATAGGAGGCAGAGGCTGCAGTAAGCTGAGATCATGCCACTGCGCTCCAGCCCAGGCAACAGAGTGAGACTCCATTTGGAAAAAAAGAAAAATATTGGTGGTGGTGGTAAGAGAGAAAATGTAGTTGTACCTTAAATTTAAATAAATGTTTCCTGATATGTAATAGAAAAATTTTTTTTAAATAACTGATTTTGTAGCTTTTTCTTTTTACTAGAAAAAGATTTTCTTATGGTTTAGTTTACACCAACTGCTAGTGTGGAAGATCAACTTTTTGTTAAATGGTAGGTATAATATATAGTAGAGTGAAAGAAAATTATTTTTGCAGTCTGATACATCTACCTCTAATAGAGATAGCTGATATGGCTGCGATACTGGTTAAATTACAAAACCTATGTGAATCTCATATCTTCACCTGTAGAATAGGATATTATGATACTTATCTTGAATATTTTAAGAATTAAATATGATTTTTAAAAGTTATCTGGCATCTAGAAAGCACTTGGTAAATGAGTACCCTCCCATACTCCCAAATACATTTCAATCCTGTGGTTAAAGAACTGACTCATTTACATTGGTGGAGTGAGGCATCTGCTGTTTCTATGCAGAGTTGTGCATCTAAGTACTGAAACAGCTAAGGGTCATTTAAGAACTGGGAATGGGACTAAATGTATGTGTTTCACTAACTTCCTAGGTATGCATTTGTAGCTTCTGCTTGCTTGCTGTTGACTCTTACTTGGTTTGCTCTGTGCCCCATATTTCGCCTGGCTATGCCTTGGTTACTTCAATACATTTATGTGTGAACACATTCATTTACTCTTCTGTTAATTTTTTTCTTCTTTTACCATGTCTGTGCCTCTACCCTTTTGAACCACTTACACTTCTTACCTGGATTATTGAAACATTTCCTAATTGTTCCCTCTGCTTCTGACCTTGTCCCTTTCATTGTATGCTTACATCAGGAGCTAGTGATCTATTTAAAATGAGCATCAGATCGTGTTATCCCTCTTCTCAGAAACTTGAAATGGCTTTCTGTTTCATTTAGAATAAAAGCCAGTGTCTTCATAGTGGTCTATGAGGCCTACGTGATTTACACCCCCAACCCTCTTAGTGCTCTGACTCTATCTACTATGGTCCCTGTCACTTCCTTCACAGTGGCCTCTTTGCTGTTTTTTTAAAAATATTCCAAGAATTTCCTACCTCAGATTCTGTTTTTCTAGAATGCTTTCCCCTTAGGGTCATCATTGTGGTTTACTCTTTTACCTTTAGACTTTTACTGAAATGTCACTGTCTCAGACCTTCCCAAGCCACCTTGTCTTAAATTATAGTGTTCTCCCTTACACGATCTCTATTTCTTTTCCCTTAGCACTTTTCAAAACCAGACATACTATGTATTTTACTTACCTTGTTCTTGTTATTATCTGTCTCTTCCTACTGGAGTAGAAACATCATGAGGGTGGAACTTTTTTTGTGCTTTGTTGGCTGCTCCATCCCCAGTACCTAAATCAGTATTTGACATATAGTAAATATTTGTTTAGTGAGTGAGTAGATGGATGAATTAATCCAGTTATTAATAAATACATTGACATACTTCCGGTATGGATAATTTGCAGGGCCACCCCTCCTTTATTTATTTATTTTGAGATGAGTATTGCCCTGTCACCAGGCTTGAGTGCAATTGGCACGATCTCCGCTCACTACAGCCTCCATCTCCTGGGTTCAAGCAATTCTTCTGCCTCCGTCTGCCAAGTAGCTGGGGTTATAGGTGCGCACCACCACGTCCGGCTAATTTTTTGTATTTTTAGTAGAGATGGGGTTTTACTATGTTGGCCAGGCTGGTCTCGAACTCCTGCTCTCGTGATCTGCCTACCTTGGCCTCCCAAAGTGCTGGGATTACAGACGTGAGACACCGCGCCTGGCAAAACTCTTTTAATAGTATGTATTATTGTTGTGTTTCATATTAGTACAGATTGTCTTCGACTTATGATGGGGTTATATCCTGCTAAACTTATTGTAAGTTGTGCATGTATTTAATACATCTAATTTACTGAATAGCCTACCTTAAATGTTCTCAGAATATTTAGATTAGCCTGTAGTTTGGCAAAATCATCTAGCACCAAGCCTGTTTTATAATAAAGTGTTTAATAGCTCATAATTTAATGAATACTGTGCTGAGAGTGAAAAATAGAAGAGTTGTATAAGCACTCAAAATATGGTTTCTATTGAATGCATACTGCTTTTGCACCATTGTAAAATAAAATAAAAAAATCATAAAGTCCAACCATTGTGAGTTGGGACATCTGTAGTTTAATGTGTCTCTCTGTGAGACTAGAACCTCCTAGACTACTAGGATCTTGACTTTCTTTTTACCCAGTTTTGTATCCCCATTGCCTGGGGGTTGGAGCTCAGTAAGTATTAGTTGAATGAACAGAAAGTATTTCTTTCACTTACATTATAAGGAGTTCATTTTTTTCTTTTTTCTTTTGTTATTGACTTTGTAACTGATTGTTTTTCTTTTCTTTTTCTTTTCTCTTTCTTCGTTTTTTTCTTTTTTCCCCTTTCTCACTCAAATCTCAAGATGTAACTGATTTTTATTATGCCTTCTAGAAGAAACAGCTTCCCCAGAAAGGAAAATGAGTGCTTTTAAACTGATGTGAGAATCTGTTGACAGTACCAGCGAAGTGGTTATTTATCTTTCTTTTTTAGGGAGATGAGGACTATGTTGTTAGTTTATGTTATGAGACAATTCGTGATAACCATTCAGTATTACTTTTTTGTCCATCAAAGAAATGGTGTGAGAAGCTGGCAGATATCATTGCTCGAGAGTTTTATAATCTACATCATCAAGCTGAGGGTGAGTTATGGATGGAAAGGAAAGCATCAATGTTCAGTACATTTGCTTGAAAGTAACGGTAGTGGTTATATTAGCAAAAACATGGCTCTTGTTCATCATTGCCACTGCCTGCCCACTAGGTGGTATTCTTTTTTCGAAACTGTGCTTCTTTGAGTTTTAGATTTTTAGTTATTATTATTATTTTTTTTTTGAGATGGAGTTTCGCTCTTGTTACCCAGGCTGGAGTGCAATGGCGCAATCTTGGCTCACCGCAACCTCCACCTCCTGGGTTCAGGCAATTCTCCTGCCTCAGCCTCCTGAGTAGCTGGGATTACAGGCACACACCACCATGCCCAGCTAATTTTTTGTATTTTTAGTAGAGACGGACGGGGTTTCACCATGTTGACCAGGATGGTCTCGATCTCCTGACCTCGTGATTCACCCGCCTTGGCCTCCCAAAGTGCTGGGATTACAGGCGTAAGCCACCGCATCCGGCTGATTTTTAGTTATTTTTTATTATCATACATTAAGTTCTGGGGTACATGTGCAGAATGTGCAGGTTTGCTACACAGGTATACACGTGCCGTGGTGGTTTGCTGCATCCATTCCCTCATCATCTTCATTAGGTATTTCTCCTGTTATCCCTTCCCAATCCCCCCACGCCCTGCTAACTCTCCCCTATCCACCCCAGCCCCCGACAGGCCTCAGTGTGCAATGTTCCCCTCCCTGTGTCCATATGCTTTTATTGTTCAGCACTCACTTATGAGTGAGAACATGTGTTTGGTTTTCTGTTGTTGTGTCAGTTTGCTGAGAATGATGGTTTCCAGCTTCATCCATGTCCCTGCAAAGGATATGAACTCATCTTTTTTTTTTTTTATGGCTGCATAGTATTCCGTGGTGTATATGGGCCACATTTTCTTTATCAAGTCTATCATTAATGGGCATTTGGGTTGGTTCCAAGTCTTTACTATTGTGAACAGTGGCACAATAAACATACCTGTGTCTTTATAATAGAATGTTTTATACTCCTTTGGATATATACCCAGTAATGGCATTACTGGTTCAAATGGTATTTCTATTTCTAGGTCCTTGAGGAATTGCTACACTGTCTGCCACAATGGTTGAAGTAATTTACACTCTCACCAACAGTGTAAAAGCATTCCTCTTTCTCCACATCCTGTCCAGCATCTACTGTCTCTTGATTTTTTTAATGATCGCCATTCTAACTGGCATGAGATGGTATCTCAGTGTGGTTTTGATTTGCATTTATCTAATGACAAGTGATGATGAGCTTCTTTTCATGTGTTTGTTGGCTGCATAAATGTCTTCTTTTGAGGAGTGTCTGTTCATATCCTTCACCACTTTTTGATGGGGTTGTTTCTTCTTGTAAATTTAAGTTCTTTGTAGATTCTGGTTAGTAGCCCTTTGTCAGATGGGTAGATTCTAATCATATTCCATCCTTAGTATAGACTATGTGTACACACACACACACACACACACACAACTTAGATTAATCAACTTTAGATTTTTAGAATACTGGATATATACTAAAGTTCTTTATCCAGGATCCATGGACTTTGAGAGTTTGATCTTTGGAGCCCCTGAATTGTATGCAAAACTTCACGGGTAGACATTTCTTTGGGAAAAGAAACCTTATCTTTATTTATGTTTCCAAAGGAATGTGTAACTGAAAAGAATCACACACACAGCCAGGCGTGGTGGCTCACACCTATAATCCCAGCACTTTGGGAGGCCAAGGTTAGCGGATCATGAGATCAGTAGTTTGAGACCAGCCTGGCCAACATATCATAGATGGGGGAGAAATGCAACATTTACATTGTATGTAACTTATGATGTATACTAAAAAAAATGATCACTTGTATACCCATATAATTTTAAAACTAGAACCCCAGCCCATTTAATTAAAAAAAAAAATTGAAAATGAGCCAGGTAAGTGTATATTCTATACACTGTTTTTGATTTATGCATGTTTTTGTTTGTCATATATATTTACATATATTTCTATTATTTTCCACTGACACATAATTCTAAAAAATACATTTATTTATTTTCTTTTGTTCTCTTTTTGAGACAGGGTCTCACTTTGTTGTCCAGGATGGGATGCAGTGGCAGGATCTCAGCTCACTGCAATCTCTAACCTCATGGACTCAAGTGATCCTCCCACCTGAGCCTCCTGAGTAGCTGGGACTATAGGTGCATGCCACTGTGCCTGGCTAATTTGTTTGTATTTTTTTTTTAAGAGATGGGATTTTGCCACATTTCCCAGACTGGTCTCAAACTCCTGGATTCAAGTGATCTGCCCACTTTGGCCTCCCAAAGTGCTGGGATTACAGGTATGAGCCACCATGCCCAGCCCAATATTTACTTTTTATGAAAACTTTTACAAGTTCAAAAATTCAGAAGTCTGGGAAGTTTTTTAACACAACATGTAAGTATGTAAAGCTTTTACTACATTTAAGAAAGTTAAGGCTGGGTGGTGGCTCATGCCTGTAATCTCAGCACTTTGGGAGGCCAAGGTGGGATGATTGCTTAAGCCCAGGAGTTTGAGACCAGCCTGGGTAACATAAGAGACCGTATCTCTACAAGTGAAAAAAAAAAAATACTAGCTGGGCATAGTGGCATGTGCGTCTGGTCCTAGCTAACCAGGAGACTGAGGTGGGAGGATTGCTTGAGCCCAGTAAGTTGAGGCTGCTGTGAGCCGTGACTATGCCATTGTACACACACGTGATTCTGCCTGGGTGACAGAGTGAGATCCTGTCTCAAAACAATGTTAAGCTCTTACTGGGGGAGAAGTTTACATATAGGGACAAAAAAAAAGAGGGTAGTATGTAATTAACTACCAGATTAGTGCCAAAGAGGCTAGAATAATTTCACAGAGGAGTAGGCTTTTTTGTGACAGGATTGGTGAAACCCTCTGATGCTGATACTGCTGGTTGGTGGTATACACCTTGAGCAAGGTTTTGATTTTGGGGTTTTGAGTGGTAATCAGTATCCATGATATTGTACTTCCTTCAGCAGTTTCCTTTGATTCCCCGCCTGTGGGCTTGGTCTTACCTTTAGAGTTTCCTAGACTTTGGTGCACCTTAGAATTGCCTGGGGAGATTTAAAAATTCTTCATGCCCGGGCCGAGCGCGGTGGCTCACGGTTATAATCCCAGCACTTTGGGAGACCGAGGCAGGTGGATCACGAGGTCAAGAGATCGAGACCATCTTGGTCAGCAAGGTGAAACCCCGTCTCTACTAAAATTACAAAAATTAGCCGGGCATGGTGGTGCACGCCTGTAGTCCCAGCTACTCGGGAGGCTGAGGCAGGAGAATTGCTTGAACCCAGGAGGCGGAGGTTGCGGTGAGCCAAGATCGTGCCATTGCACTCCAGCCTGGGTAACAACAGCGAAACTCCATCTCAAAAAAAAAAAAAAAAAAATTCTTCATGCCCAGGTCACATCCCACACCAATTACATAACAATGTCCAGGATTAAGAACCAGGCATCAGTATTTTTAAAAGATCTCCAGGGGATTATAGTATATTGCAGTTTCAGAACCATTTCCCTGTTATTAAGCTCTAGTATGATTTAGACAGATACCATTTAAAGAGCCTGAGCTAAAAGTGAACAGTGTTGATAATTTTTTTGTGACAGGATTGGTGATATCCTCAGAATTCCCACCAGTAATTCGGGAACAAAAAGACCTCCTGGAAGTGATGGATCAGTTAAGACGTTTGCCTTCAGGACTGGACTCTGTATTACAGAAAACTGTACCATGGGGAGTAGCATTTCATCATGCAGGTATTTCATGTTTATAATCTGTTATTAAGAAACCTCCAGAATTCTTCATACTGTCTTAACTTTTATATTTGTGTACATTTATTTCTTGTTAAACACACTTAATATACTTAGATTTCTTTTTAAGAAATTGTGTGGGCCAGGCGTGGCACCACTGCATTCCAGCCTGGGAGACAGGGAGAGACTCCATCTCAAAAAAAACAAAAAAGTAATTGTGTGGGCTGGGCATGGTGGCTCATGCCTGTGATCCCAGCACTCTGGGAGGCCAAAGCAAGTTGGTCACCTGAGGTCAGGAGTTCAAGACCAGCCTGGCCAACATGGCAAAACCCTGTCTCTACTAAAAATAGAAAAATTAGATAGGTGTTGTGGCAGGCACCTGTAATTCCAGCTCCTCGAGAGGCTGAAGCAGGAAGAATTGCTTGAACCTGGGAAGTGGTGGTTGCAGTGAGTTGAGATCATGCCATTGTACTCCAGCCTCGGGGACAGAGTGAAATTGTATGACAGATTAAACAAGAGTAAAATAAACATGCTTCAGTTTACTTATTTGTATATAGTGGTCTCCCCTTGTCCACTGAAGACCACCAGTGGATATCTGAAACCATGGATAGTACCAACCCTACATATGATGTTTTTTCATAACATGTTAAAAATTTTCAATGCATTTGAAATGTAGGTGTGTATGGGGGTATATATATTTATATAACTGGTATATAGTCGTCCTTCTTTGTGGGGAATATGTTCCAATATCCTCAGTGAATGTTTAAAACCACGGATAGTACCAAACCCTCTATATACTACGTTCTTTCCTATATAGTCACATTGTATAGTGCAGGTAGTGTATACAGCATGGATACACTGAATAAAGGGATAATTCATGTCCTGTTTTAAACAGCATGCAATTTATAACTTATGAGTTGCTTATTTCTGGAATTTTCCTCTTTATATATTTGACTTTGGGCAGCTGAAACTGTGGAAAGCAAAACCACAGATGGGGGAAACTACTATTTATACACACACATGAAATTTACATTGTATATAACTTACGATGCATACTAAAAAAGTGAACAACGGTGTACCCATCACTTAATTTTAAAACTAGAACTCCAACCCTTTTAATTTTTAAATAAAATTGAAAATGAAGCAGGTAAGTATATATTCTGTACACTGTTTTTTGTTTACTCATGTTTTTATTCACATATATTTATGTCAGAAGTGTATCTGATCCCTGTGATGCATAGGCCCTGAAGATATATCAGTGAATAAGGCATATTCCTACCCACAAGGAGTTCATTGTCTAGAAAAGCAGTTGGCAAGTTGTAGTCTGCTGGTCCAGTCTATCCTACCATATATTTTGGTAAATAAAGTTTTATTGGAACACATCCATGCCCATTTGTTCTCCTGCTGCTTTCATGTCACAGTGGCAGGGTCGAATAGTTGCAACAGAGATCTGCTGTTCCATAGGAACAGGAAAAGTTTGTAGACCCCTGCTCTATACAATAAGATAGAGGTATACTAGGGGCAGCAGATTATACTCTGTTGTTGTTGTTGTTGTTGTTGTTTTAGACTGAGTCTCACTCTATTGCCCAGGCTGGAGTACAGTGGTGTGATCTCAGCTCACTGTAACCTCCACTTCCCACTCAAGTTTAGCTGGGATTACAGGCACCCACCACCGTGCACAGCTAATTTTTTATATTTTTAGTAGAGAAGGGTTTTCACCATGTTGGCCAGGCTGGCCTTGAACCTCTGACCACAAGTGATCCACCTGGCTCGGCGTCCCAAAGTGCTGGGATTACAGGCATGAGCCACCACACTCGGCCAGATTATACTCTTAAAGAGGTAGACTGTGATGACTCCTTTGTCAACAGTCATAGCAGTAGTTTCAGAAATCTTCAGAGGCTTGAAGCAGACTCTCAAATCCATTTGTGAATGATCAAGAACAACATTTTCATTATATATCTGTAAATACATGAAACCCTTTTTTTAGGTCTTACTTTTGAGGAGAGGGATATCATTGAAGGAGCCTTTCGTCAAGGTCTCATTCGGGTCTTGGCAGCAACTTCTACTCTTTCTTCTGGGGTGAATTTACCTGCACGTCGTGTGATTATTCGAACTCCTATTTTCGGTGGTCGACCTCTAGATATTCTTACTTATAAGCAGATGGTTGGTCGTGCTGGCAGGAAAGGAGTAGATACCATAGGTAAGTGAGTTTGAATTTAAATCTGGCGGCATTGCTAAAGGACAGTGTCTACTTGGAATTTGACTGGTGCCTGGCAACCGGTTTCTCATCATACTGTATTTCTTTATTATCCAATGCACTAATGTCATCATTTTTTATTCACTTAATATTTATAGTGAGTATGAGTTATAATTTTCATATATCATCAACTGTTGATTTTCTACAAATGTTAAATTAAGATTTTCTTTTGTATTCTATACAATAAAATGATTTAGTATTACGTAAATCAAGATGACTTCTTATTACTTAGCTGGAAGATGATTTTTAATTTCCAAGTATAGTCTACTCTTTAGCACTAATTAATTTTCACATAGGTTAGTTCTACTTAGGTGACTAGTCTTAGAAATCAGACAAGGATGGTGCGAAGCACCCTCACACTTTGGGAATAGGAACTTGGCATCCCATCTTTTTTCTCTAAATTGGTACTGGCTCTGAAAAAACACCTTTTCATTTTCTTACCTCGTACCAGCATGTTATGGTTTTATTGCTGGCAATCCAAACAAAAGTTTTATCTTAAGTAGTGAGGAAGAGGTCTGTTTGAATGTCAAAACGGCAGCAAATTTTATTTCTAATATGCTGTATCATTATATTTATAACTAACTCATTAGCCATCTAACATTAAAGAACCATGGGAGGAACATTCCCTGTCACTGTGTTTTTCTACTCTAGGACATAATTGACACCAGTATTTTATTAGGTATATCAGAAAAAACAAAAAACAAAAAAAGAACCAGGTAACCAGTTTTGTGGCTATTGAAGAGAAATTAGGTAATCCAGGAGAATAAGGAAAGTGGATGGGAAATGGATATTTTGGGCACAGGAGGCCAGGTAGTACATTGAGGAAGTAACTTTTAGAATAAACTGACTTGTCACATCAAGTCCCCAAATATGTCAATTATCATTATTCATGGATTCCATATTTGAATTTTCCCACTTAACAGAATTTATTCAGAATCCCGAAATTAATACCTCTGGGGCTTTTGCAGGGATGTGCAGATCTGTGGAAAATTGGTGTCTTTCCAAGCACACTTTACCTGTTACAATTGAACAAGCCAAAGCTCTGCCTTCTTGATTCAGCTCTTATACTGTGAACAAGCTTGCTTTTAATGGGCTAGTTAGTGCCACATTTTTGTGCTTTTAGCCGATGATTTCGCTGTTAACATGACCTCCTAAGCAAAGTATGAAATGCTGTCTAATGCTCCTAGTGCATTAAGGCTGTGCTGTGCCTTATAGAGAAAATATGTGATAAGCTTTCTTTAGGCATGAATTATAATGCCATTGGCTAGAGCTCAATATAAACAACTACATATATTAAATAAGATGTCTTTATACAAAAACATGCATGAAACAAGGTTTTGTATTGATTAAGTGATGAAAATGTTTTTACTAGAGACTTGCAGAAAACTAATCATCTATTTTCCTTGGCAGAATAATCAGTATTCTGTGTTTGTGGCAACTTTGTAGAACGTGACTACCACAAATACCAAACATTGACCATAATTTATTGGTAACTGGGTTAGTTAGAATATAAATTCACTGCTATAACAAAAACTAATACAATAGGTGTTTAACAAGATTTCTTTCTCACGTAACAGCAAAATTGTAAGTAATCTAGGCCTTATGTGATGGCTGTAGTGTGTCAGAGACCTAGTCTTCTACTTTGTTTTAACATTTTCAGCAATATAGTTTCTATCCTCAGTATTACGTTGGCTAGTCCAGTCTCTCTCATCACATCTGCATTTCAGCCCTCAGGAAGCGGAGATGAGAAAGCAAAGAACACACCCTGCCTTTTAAGGCCACTCATTCACATGGTTACATTCCCCAACTGTAAGAGAGGCTGGGAAATACAATCTTTAGCCCAGGTGGCCGTGCACCCAACTAATACTTAAGGAAGAAAGAAGACACTGATGGCTATTGGAACAGCTTTCAGTCTCAGCCCCAGTAATAAGTGACCCATTTATAATCCCCGAAGGGCATTGGTCTGCCTTTCTTTTAAGCCCTGAAAATCTTGATGATTTTTTAAAAAACCTTCTAATTTGTTAGATTTTTCCTACAACTGACATCAGAGCAGTTTATCCTGTTTCTCTCTTACTTTACCTACAAAATATGCAGATGACCTGTACATGCTTAAGAAGCGTTGGAGGAAGAGAGTGAGACTCTTCCTTCCCATTCCTATTTGCCTACCTCTGCCCATCCCCAATTCTCAGTGGACTCATACTCTGGGGAATGGAGTATAAGTTCATTTTACTCAGATATTCTTCTTTCAGGGACAGAGGGTCTTTTAGTTAACATAGAAGATAAAGAGAAATAAGATAAGATCTTATTTGCTTTTCTATGTTCTTAGCTTGTGTTTATTATGGGAAAGAAAAATTGGAAAGTCAGTGCCCTGGGCTAATGATCAAGTCTTAAATCACAACATTCAAGCAGAACTAAAATATATTGTAATTAGTTCATTTCTGAGGTCTTGAAGACTTCCAAGCTTTTGACCTTGCATATCATTGTATTTCAGGATGCCATATGACTTGCTCCTAACTTCAAGCTAGTGAGGAATGTAGGAATATGGTGTTTTATAGTGACTGTGGAGATTTAAATACTTGGTCATGCTTTTTGTATTGTGTAGCATCATTGTAAATTCTGTGCACTTTATAAGTGATATTAATATTTCCTGGACAACACACGGTGTTTTATTTAGATAACACTTTAATCTTCCCATAGACTACATAGAAGCTTCCAGTGTAGGATGATGGTACATTGTGCCGGAATAGCAATTTGCAAGTTCAGCAGTAATAAATTATTTGATTCTAAATAATTTCAACTCCCTCTTGTGATGTGGATGAGACCTCCCAGACAGGTGGTTGCAGGAACCTGTATGTATATACTGACGTTCATTTGGACATTTCATAAACCTTGCCCATTCAGAAAAAGGTTAGTTTGTTTTGTTGAAGAATCAAAGCCTGGAAGACCTTTAAGCAGCCCACAGTGGCTTGTTATCTTGCTGCTAATGCTAGTTGATTCATTTTCTTTTTTTTTTTCTTTTTTTTTTTTTTTTTTTTTTTTTTTGAGACAGAGTTTTGCTCTTGTTACCCAGGCTGGAGTGCAATGGCGCAATCTGGCTCACTGCAACCTCCGCCTCCTGGGTTCAGGCAATTCTCCTGCCTCAGCCTCCTGAGTAGCTGGGATTACAGGCACGAGTCACCATGCCCAGCTAATTTTTTGTATTTTTAGTAAAGATGGGGTTTCACCATGTTGACCAGGATGGTCTCGATCTGTCGACCTCATGATCCACCCGCCTCGGCCTCCCAAAGTGCTGGGATTACAGGCTTGAGCCACCAGCCTGGCCAAGTTGATTCATTTTCTAGGTAACTTATATGTGTGTGTGTGTTTTGTTAAGCTGGGCTGTTTTGTAACCATTGCAAGAGCCAGGGGTTACAGTCATGTGATATTTTTTAAATTGGATATTGACAAATTATGATTGTATATATTTATGAGGTACAGGTTGATACTATATGTATGCAATACAGAATGATGGAATTAAGTCAATTAACATACCATCACCCCCAAATACTTAGCATTTATTCTTTTTTTTTTTTTTTTTTTTTTGAGACGGAGTTTCGCTCTTGTTACCCAGGCTGGAGTGCAATGGCGCGATCTCGGCTCACCGCAACCTCCGCCTCCTGGGATCAGGCAATTCTCCTGCCTCAGCCTCCTGAGTAGCTGGGATTACAGGCACGTGCCACCATGCCCAGCTAATTTTTTTGTATTTTTAGTAGAGACGGGGTTTCACCATGTTGACCAGGATGGTCTCGATCTCTCGACCTTGTGATCCACCCGCCTCGGCCTCCCAAAGTGCTGGGATTACAGGCTTGAGCCACCGCGCCCGGCCCAGCATTTATTCTTTCTAACTGAAACACTGTACTCTTTGGCCATCCCCATCCTCCAGCTCTCTGGTCTCTCTTTCTTCTGCTTGATTGAGCCTCTACTAAAGCTTTGATTGCGTTTTTCACTTCAGTCATTGTATTCTTCATCTCTAGGATTTCTCTTTTGTTTTTATTGTTTCTATTCTTTGTCAAACTTCTTATTTTGTGTATTGTTTTCCAAATTTTATTTATTTTTTTATCCATATATCCTTGTAATTCATTGGACTTTTTATAGAGAATTATTCGGTATTCTTTCTCATTTCACAGATCTTCATTTCTTTAGGGTTCATTGTTGGAGCTTTGTTAGTTTCTTTCGAAGGTATCTTGGTTTCCTGGTTCTTTGTGATCTGTGTTCCTGTGTTGGTATCTGCACATTTGAGAGGACAGCTACCTCTTTGGCTTGTATAGGTGTTCTTTTGCAGGGACAGAACTTCACTTGTCTAGCTTTTGATTCTGAATAAGCCAACTGGTAGCAGCTTTGAGGAGGCAAAGCTTGCCTTTGGGTTCTGTAAATAGTTGGGCTGCTGCCTTTGTTCTGAGTCTGAATGGGACTGCTGCCTGGGCCCTGCTTTCAGGTGAACCCACTAGCTGACCTGTGTAATCAGGCAGAGTTCCTGGGCTGCAGGGTGTATCCCTATGTGAGATCTGCACTTGGACAGTGTTGCAGGCTGGGCCGTGAGGTTAGGCGGAGTTGCTGTTCTGGACCAGCTGCAATGCTCAGGGGAAATGCATGATTGAGCATGGTGGCTCGTGCCTGTAATCCCAGAGACTTGGGAGGCTGAGATGGGAGGATTACTTGAACCTGGGAGTTTGAGGCTTCAGTGGGTTATGATCATGCCACCACAGTCCAGTGTGAGTGACAGAGATCCTACCTCTAAAAATAAAATAATAAATGCACATCTGAGGTTTGCCTCCCTGCCTAGGTAGGACCTTAGAGTGGGCTTTGAGACTGAACCGAGGGCTATTCCATCTGTGGCAGAACTAGTCTCTGCAATTTGCAAAAATACACTATGTTAGGCATCTTCCACCTGGGACAGGTTCTTGAGGCTGAGCGGAGCACTGTTTAAAATCCCAGGTTTGGGGTAACCCCCTGCTGCTTTCTAAAATACACTGTGATGATCAGCTCCCTTCCTGGGCAGGGTTTGTCATGAGCTTTGAGGCTGGTCCTGTAGGATGGCTACCTAAAGATTCAAACCAGGTGGAATTTCCTACCACTTCTGGAAGTGATCAGCTCGACTTTGTGGTGGGCTACGCTGTTGGCTGGTATCTCTGATTGGGCACCACCGCTGGCAGGTACACAGAGCTACCACCAAGGTCGGCATGCTGGTGGCCGTGAGCTCTGCCTCCTTGCTTTGCTTCTGCCTGGTCCGAGGTGATCTAGCTGTGCTGTTACCCAGGGTGTTCTCTGTGAGGTGAGACTGGAGCTGGCTTCTTGGGAAGCCTCTTGGAATGCTAAGAAAGCTATGTGTTTGCCTCTGGTTCTCTTTTTCCACTGTGGAAGCTGGGAGTCCTGGGGATTCCTTTCTGTGTGGTACTATGCTGACTTGGGGGAGTGCAAGGGGTGATGCAGTCAAAGTGAGATAGTTTCTCTTAAATATCTTGAAAATTTTATTTGATTTTGTAGTCCATGCAGAAATTTGGGACTTATTCCCAAGTTTTGGGTGAGGGAGGGTTTGGTTGTTATTCATTTTTTGTTTTTTTGACACGGAGTTTCACTCTTGTTGCCCAGGTAGAGTACATGGCACAATCTCGGCTTACTGCAACCTCTGCCTCCTGAGTTAAGCCTCTGCCTTACTCCTGCCTTAGCCTCTCAAGTTGTTGGGATTACAGGCATGTGCCACTACACCTGGTTTATTTTGTATTTTTAGTAGAGACAGGGTTTCACCGTGTTGGTCTGTTTGGTCTCGAACTCCTGATCTCAGGTGATCCACCCACCTTAAGCCTTTCACAGTTCTGGGATTACAGGTGTGAGCCACTGTTCATGGCCTTTTTTAATTTTAATTTTTATTTATTTTATTTTTTTTGAGATGAAATTTTGCTCTTGTTGCTCAGACTGATGGAGTGCAGCAGCCCAGTGTAGGCTCACTGCAATCACTACCTCCTGGGTTTGAGCTGTTCTCAGGCCTCAGCCTTCTGAGTAGCTGGGATTGCAGGCATCTGCCACCATGCCCCGCTAAATTTTGTATTTTTAGTAGTGATGGGGTTTCACCATGTTGGCCAGGCTGGTCTCAAACTCCTGATCTCAGGTGATCCACCTGTTTCGGCCTCCCAAAGTGTTGCGATTACAGGCACGAGCCACTGCACCAAGCAGTTTTGTTTTCACAAAGGTGTTCTTGTCTGCAGATAGAAGCTAGTTCAAGCTTCTGGGGAGGAAGGTACTAAAGCCTCCTGTTCCACCATCTTGCTGATGTCTTGTTTCACTTTTTCAATGGTGCCTATCTTTATAATCCTTTCTGGGATAAATAGCCAGTTATCATCGAATTTATATTCCCTTTATCCTATCTTGATTCTCAGTGTGGCAGTTGGAAAGCATAATCTATACCTTCTCTTTGCCTGGGGTAGTGAGTACATTCAACACTGTGCCAGTTTTGTTTTTATTTTTTAAAAAGTGTCCTTCGTTTGGCTTTTTTAACCTCTTACCTGTTTTCCGCAGTATTGGATTCATTTTTGAAGAAAAGTTATTATTCTTTCTAGTCATAATTGTTGCAATAACAGTTTGTATTTATTCAAATCATATACTTGCATATGGTTTTAACATATAAGTGCTTTCATGTATGTTCACTTGATTGTCACAATAAAGCATTTAGATTAGTAAATGTTGTAATAAATTTTAGGTATCTACAAGTATTTGAATTTATTTTATCATCTTTAACTAGTAAAACTTTACATTTGCATTTTACTTTACAGGTTTGAAAGTACCTCTATTAATTACTTCATTATTCAATAATAATGGTTAATCCTGTAGGGGAAGAAAAAGACTTCTCTACTTTCTTAGGTTCTGCAGTTGGGACCTGCTAATTAAATTAACAGAAAGATTAACAGGAGAAAAGGCGTATAAACTTAATTTGATGCTAGTATTTTAATTTTTTTTTTTTTTTTTTTTTTTTTGAGACGGAGTTTCGCTCTTGTTACCCAGGCTGGAGTGCAATGGCGCGATCTTGGCTCACCGCAACCTCCACCTCCTGGGTTCAGGCAATTCTCCTGTCTCAGCCTCCTGAGTAGCTGGGATTACAGGCACGCACCACCATGCCCAGCTAATTTTTAGTATTTTTAGTAGAGACGGGGTTTCACCATGTCGACCAGGATGGTCTCGATCTCTTGACCTCGTGATCCACCCACCTCAGCCTCCCAAAGTGCTAGGATTACAGGCTTGAGCCACCGCGCCCGGCGTTAGTATTTTAATTTTTATGTGCTTGGAAGCCATTATAGAAAAGGACTGAAAACCTGAGAAACTGTTAAACCTGGAATTTTACGTAACATTTTAACAATGGGCAGTAAATTGTGGAGAATTGACAAAAAGGTTAAGGTATCTGGGCTTCTAGGGGCAACAGATTATGAGAAGATAAATATATGGGGAGAACTAATGGAAGATAGAAGTTATTTTAGTAGCCGGGCGCGGTGGCTCAAGCCTGTAATCCCAGCACTTTGGGAGGCTGAGGCGGGTGGATCATGAGGTCAAGAGATCGAGACCATTCAGGTCAACATGGTGAAACCCCGTCTCTACTAAAAATACAAAAAAATTAACTGGGCATGGTGGCACGTGCCTGTAATCCCAGCTACTCAGGAGGCTGAGGCAGGAGAATTGCCTGAACCCGGGAGGCGGAGGTTGCGGTGAGCCGAGATCGCGCCATTGCACTCCAGCCTGGGTGACAAGAGCGAAACTCCGTCTCAAAAAAAAAAAAAAAAAAAAAAAAAAGAAGTTATTTTAGTAGAATTTGTCTGTGCAGACCCATCTCAGTGCTGAACTGTCTCCAGTGATAAGGGTTGTTGTCCTGTATGGGAGAGGGAAGGGGAAATTTCATCACAAAGGGGAAAATTCATTCTTGCTTTTAGGCAGATAGGGAGAGGACAGAGTTCTTTCTGTGTTTGCTGCTTCCCAGTGGCCTTCAGCTCAAAATAATCATTACTCTAGTGGCATATTTGGGAGTAGCATATTCTGATCCCCTTCTGTGCAAAGTTCAGAAAATAAAAATAGCCATAATTTTATCAGTATAACAACCGCTATCATCTCTTGTCTCCTTTTAAATAAGTAAGGCAACTTAAAATTTCTTTAGCTGATATCTTACAGAACTATACTGGGATTTTGCAAATGCATGTCTTTCGGTTATAGGTGAGAGTATCTTAATTTGTAAGAACTCTGAGAAATCAAAAGGCATAGCTCTCCTTCAGGGATCTCTAAAGCCTGTTTGCAGCTGTCTGCAAAGACGAGAAGGAGAAGAAGTAACTGCCAGCATGATACGAGCTATTCTGGAGGTAAAAGAGGTTACTATATTACCATTTGCTCTTTTATGCCTAAATTAAAGTGGTAAAATATTAGTATATGAAAATCTTAGCTTTATGGGTTTTTCTAGTTTTTGTTTTGTTTTGTTTTTGGTTTTTTTGAGATAGAGTCTCTGTTGTCCAGGCTGGAGTGAAATGGCATGATCTCAGCTCACTGCAACGTCCTTCTCCCAGGTTCAAGTGATTCTCCTGCCTCAGCCACCCAAGTAGCTGGGATTACAAGTGCACACCACCGTCTCCGGCTAATTTTTGTACTTTTAGTAGAGACGGGGTTTCACCATGTTGGCCACGCTGGTCTTGAACTGCTGACCTCAGGTGATCTCCTTCCTTGGTCTCTTAAAGTGCTAGGATTACTGGCCACTGCGCCTGGTGCTTTATGTTTTTGGTTTTTTTTGAGATGGAGTCTCGCCCTGTCACCTAAAATTTCAGATGGATTTAATGCTTCATTTATTTTTCTTTACAAGAAAATATTTTATCTACTTTAAGGAGAACTTTTCTGTTGTCATTAGGTGTTCAACAGTTACAGTGACTGCTGACGGAAGAGTTAATAAATGATCTCTACATTAAGATTCTAAAAACTTCTGTTTTTTTTTTGAGATGTAGTCTCGCTTTGTTGCCCTCAGGCTGGAGTGCAGTGACTTGATCTTGGCTCACCACAACCTCCACCTCCCAGGTTCAAGCGATTCTCCTGCCTCAGCCTCTTGAGTACTGAGATTACAGGCGAACGCCACCACGCCTGGCTAATTTTTTTGTTTTTAGCAGTAACGAGGTTTCACCATGTTGGCCAAACTTGTCTTGAACTCCTGACCTTGTGATCTGCCTGCCTCGGTCTACCAAAGTGCTGGGATTACAGGCGTGAGCCACCATGCCTGAACCATTCTAAGAAAATTTTAAAAAATGAGAATGGAATCGCTTTCTTTCTTTTATCCAGAGGGCTGCATGTTTTAGTAAAAAGTTACAGAATTTTTCAAATATTTTCTTTCAGATAATAGTTGGTGGAGTGGCAAGTACATCACAAGATATGCATACTTACGCTGACTGTACGTTTTTGGCTGCAAGTATGAAGGAAGGGAAGCAAGAAATTCAGAAAAATCAAGAGTCTGCTCAGGTTGAAGCAATTGAGGCCTGTGTCATGTGGCTGTTAGAAAATGAATTCATCCAGATTACAGAAGCCAGTGATGGAACAGAAGGTAAGTGTGACTTCTCAGTTGCAATTTACTCACTTTTTCATCTTTGGTGAGTGTATGACTGCTCAGTAAATAGAAATTGTCTTTTCATGTAGTATAACAGGAAATTGATTTTTTGAGCAGTGTATCAACTCATTTTTAGTAAATCAGTATTGTATTTAGCAACTTCAGACAATTATTATAGAGCCTGCTCATACATTTTCATGCACTGGATAAGGTATTATTTGTAAAATTTATCCGCTGAAAGGGTTAGCTTTGGAATACAGAAAGATTTTGTTTTGTTTTATTTTGAATGTTCCTCTCTTTCTTCACCTTAACCCTAAACCAGGAAAGGTGTATCATCCAACACATCTTGGTTCGGCTACTCTTTCTTCTTCACTTTCTCCAGCTGATACTTTAGATATTTTTGCTGACCTGCAAAGAGCAATGAAGGGCTTTGTTTTAGAGAATGATCTTCATATTGTCTACCTGGTAAGTTCTGTTGTCTTAACGATTATGTTTGTGAAAATAGGGAGAAAAGATAGATACAGAATCCTAACATCAAAGATACCCTAACAAAACATCTTGTCTGTTTTCCTTGACTAGGTTAGTACTGGTGGGAATAGAGAGGAAGTAAGAAGAGAATTGTTTTAAAATAACAGTCTAAATGTTCTAGTTACCTTTTAATTTATTTTCTACAACTTCCTTTCAAAAAAGATTTGAGTTGGTTTATAAATATATATATATGAAATATATATACATATGAACAGCAAAGGAGAATGGGATATCAGAAAATTAAAGATAAGATCATGATATAAAACTTAAGCAAAGGTTGGGACACAAACATGCATGCCATTAATTCATGTCCAATGATGGTGTCCTCTTTGATTCTGGGTTTTCTAGCAACTAAAAGAGGGAAGCTTGATTAGTCTTAATATTCGTAAGATAAAATAAAAAACAAGTTTAGGAAAAACATTGCATTTCCCTGCATAAGAGAAATTTAGTCCTATAATTATATTTTGCAACTTAACATTGTTGGTAAAAATCTCTATAATAAATGCAATAAGTAATTTTAAAAGTTTGTTTAAATTAGACTAGAATGCTCTATGAATACTATTTTGTATAACAGAGATTTTGATAAAAATTGGATAGTGTTTGAGGTCATATTCTTTGGCAAGAACCTGATCAGAAATCATTAATTTTGTCAGTTAAGAGCAGATGCATGCATTTTGATAAGCAAGGGAGAGAGGGAGGTGAGTACAATTGAAATTCTCATTAGAATAAAGGGGGCTTATCAGGAAATGTGTTTCAGTAAAAGACACTAAGTAGTAAGCACAGGGGATATGTCTAGACAGTGTCAATTTTCTTTTCTTACAAACACGTATAATACGTCGGTGATAATAGGCTCAAAGGTCTGTGCCCAAGAATGCGGCTGGGAGGAATGTCAAAGCAGGTCTCACCAGTCATCTATCATGGCCTTAAAAATAAGTCTCATTTAGGCCGGGCGCGGTGGCTCAAGCCTGTAATCCCAGCACTTTGGGAGGCCGAGGCTGGTGGATCACAAGGTCAAGAGATCGAGACCATCCTGGTCAACATGGTGAAACCCCGTCTCTACTAAAAATATAAAAAAGTAGCTGGGCATGGTGGCACATGCCTGTAATCCAAGCTACTCAGGAGGCTGAGGCAGGAGAATTGCCTGAACCCAGGAGGCGGAGGTTGCGGTGAGCCGAGATTAAGCCATTGCACTCCAGCCTGGGTAACAAGAGCGAAACTCCGTCTCAAAAAAATAAAATAAAATAAGTCTCATTTATTATACAGCAGCTGATTGTGGGCTCTAGGGTCAGACTGCCTTAGTTCAGCTTTCAGCCTCATCTCTTAGTAATTGTACAACCTCGATTAAGTACTTAACCTCTCTTAAGATTCCATTTTCTTACTTGTAAAATGGAGATAACAATACTCACCTCAGGGCTGATAGTCAACATTACCTATTATTTCTAGTAAATTTTCCCATAAACATTATGTAAGTCATTTGCCAAATTCCCTAACTATTCCTGTCTCCTCTTTAAAACATGTAGACTCTTGGCACTGTTCATACGCTGAATGCTTGTGATTAGTGGTCTTGTTTACTTCTCTCACAGTTCAAGTTGGATGCCCTTCAGGAGTTAGTTGTGTTCCCAAACTTGTTCATGCCAGTTTGCTTCTGAGAAAATTAGGCTGAGGCAGAAGGATCACCTGAGGCCAGGAGTTTGAGAACAGCCTGGGCAACAGAATAAGAATCTGTCTCTACCCTAAAAAATTAAAAATTAGTTGTGTGGTGGTGCATGTCAGTAGTCCCAGCTACTCAGAGAGGCATAGGCAAGAGAATCACTTCAGCCCAGGAGTTCTGGGTTATAGTGAGCTATGATCACGCCACCATACTTCAGCCGTGGTGACAGCAAGAGACCTCGTGTCTTAAAAACCAACAAAAATGAGTGAGATAACTGAAAGCTCTGAGAAAAAGTTACAGGAATCTAGACAGGGAAGAAAACAAAAGGATACTGCCCAAAGTTTATTTTGCAATTATCTTTAATTTCTTTTCTTTCTTTTTTTTTGTGGGGGGGTAGAGTCTCATTCTGTCACCCATGCTGGAGTGCAGTGGCACAACCTTGTCTCATTGCCACCTCTGCCTCCCAGGTTCAAGTGATTCTTGTTCCTCAGTCTCCCAAGTAGCTAGGACTACAGGTGCATGCCACCACACCTGACTAATTTTTGTATTTTTAGTAGAGATGGGGTTTTACCATGTTGGCCGGGCTGGTCTCAAAGTCCTGACTTTAAATGATCCACCTGCCTTGGCCTCCCAAAGTGCTGGGATTACAGGTGTGAGCCATCACACCCAGCCAATGATTATCTTTAATTTCTAACTTCACATTACAAAACAGAAACTGGATTTCTTAGACAATGTATTGTGGTTATGGTTTGACTAAGAAAGCCATGGTAAATTCCAGTCAACAAACTCATGCTCAAAAGGCCTTGACCCCTAGCTCATTGGCAATTATGTTTTAGGTTAGACAAAACATTTTGTGTTTGCATGTGTTATTTTATGTTTTAAATATATAAAGCATTTCTGTGATTCAAAAGTCAGAACTATATCAACAGGAATAATCAGAGAAGTCTGACTCCTATATCCATCCCTTGCATGTCTTTCCACCCACCTTTCAGAGATGACTATTTTCATTCATTTTTTTAATGTATGTTTTCTCTTCTTCCCTTTTTTTTTTTTTTTTTTTTTTTTTTTTTTTTTGTGATGGAGTCTTGCTCTGTAGCCCAGACTGGAGGGCAGTGGCATGATCTCGGCTCACTGTACAACCTCTGCCTCCCTGGTCCCAGTTAAAGCAATTCTTCTACCTCAGCCTCCCAAGTAGCTGGGATTACAGGCATGAGCCACCATGCCTAGCTAATCTTTATATTTTTTAGTAGAGACAGGGTTTCACCATGTTGGCCAGTCTCGTCTTGAACTCCTGACCTCATGATCCACCTGCCTCGGCCTCCCAAAGTGCTGGGATTACAGGTATGAGCCACTGCGCCTGGCTACAAAAATTATCAAGCATATTCTTCACTTTTTTATACAGCAGGTAGCATGCTGTGTACAGTCTTCTATACCTTTTTTTTCTTAACAGTATGTTTTGGAAATCACTTCATATCAATTCATTTTTTATTCTTTTTCATAGCTCTACAATTCTGTTGTGTAGGTGGATGTATCATTGTTTATGCTATCAGTTCCCTATTGATGGACATTTGGATTGTTTTCAATATTTTGTTGTGGCAAATGATGCTGCAGTAAATAACGTGGTACACACAGTGTTTAGTTTTTATGGAGGTATCTCTTTAGGAAAGACTTCTGGAAGTGCAGTTGCTGGGTAAAATGTAAAACCATAAGTGGTTTTGGTTTTGCAAAGTTGACCCCTGTAGAGTTTGTATTATTTTCCAGTTTTACCAGTGATATATGAGAGTAATTGTTTTTCAAGGCCTCACAAGTAGAGAGTATATTGTTAAGCTTTTGTATTTTTGAGTGTAGTTTTAATTTACATTTTTTACATTATGAGTAAATTTGGACATTTTCCTCATTTATATAAAATGTGCAGAATGACAGTCTATAGAAACAAAAAGCACATTTAGTGCATTAGTAGTTACCCAGGGCTGGGGGGGAGTATGAGGAGGTTAGATGAAAATGGGGGGTGATTGCTGATGGGTATAGGGCCCCTCACTTCCCTCTCCAGTGAATTGTCCATGTCTTTTGCTCATTTTTCTGTTGTATTTTTTTTTAAGTTTTAAACTTTTTATATATGTTAGGGAGATTGGTGCTTTGTGGTATAAGTAGAAGGATTTTCCTCTTGGTTTTTCACTTTTCTTTTGTCTTTGCTTATTGTATGTTTTATCTCACATTTAAAAAAAAATACAGTTGAATTTATGGATTTTTGAATTAGTGAGAACTTTTTTTGCTCTGAGATTATCAAGGAATTCACCCACATTTTCTTCAAGTAATTGTATAGTTGTGGTCTCCCATTTGAGCTCTGCTTCATTTGGAGTGTATTCTGGTATATGGTTCTTCAGTTTAATGTTTTTTTTCAAAATGGCTATATGTAATCTCAGCATCATTTATTAAATGGTTAATTTACATAATGACTCAAGATGGCAACTTTTATCTTCTGTATTAATTTCCATTTGTATTTGGATATATTTCTAATTTCCAGTTGTTATTGTATATATTTCTGTTTCACTTCTTAGCCTGACAAAAGTCCAGTTTTACTGATTTTTGTGCCAGTATCTCTGTTTTCATTAAAAACTTTCTGGTACAGCAAGTTTCTCTTCATCACTTTCCTTTTTCAATGTTCATAGCTATTCTTGTTGGCTTACTGTATTAGTCCATTCTCACACTGCTATAAAGAAATACTGGGAGACTCGGTAATTTATAAAGAAAAGAGGTTTAATTGACTCATGATTCTGCAGGTTGTACAGGAAGCACAGTGGCTTCTTCTGGGGAAGCCTCAGAAAGCTTCCAGTGATGGCAGAAGGTGAAGGGGAAGCAGGCACATGTTATGTGGCTGGCGCAACAGGAAGAGAGTGAGAGAGAGGTGGGAGGTGCCACACACGTTTAAACAACCAAATCTTGAGAAGTCATTATTGCAACGGCCGCACCAAGGCGGATGGTGTGAAACCATTAGAAACCCATCCTCATGATCCAATCACCTGCAACCAGGCCCCATCTCCAGCATTGGGGATTACATTTCAACATGAAATTCGGTGGGGACACATATCTAAACTATATAAGTCTACCTGTGGGCCCCTAAATCTCATGACCTTCTCATATTCCAAAATACAATCATCCCTTCTCAATGGTCCCCCAAAGTCTTAACACATTCCATCATTAACTCAAAAGTCCAAAGCCTTATCTGAGACAAGCTAGTCCTTTCCACCTATGAGCCTGTGAAATAAAAGAAACTAAATTACTCCCA